TTATTCGAGCCGGTCGTTTTTTGGTCTCGGCTTGCATAAGGGAAAAAAACGCATTATTCGATCCCAAGTTATTATTTACGCCGCCACATTACTTCGGGTTTAGGTTTCGGGCAGGGCTTCATTAGGAAGCTTCCATCGAAGTTGGTGTTCAAAAACTAAAAACCAATTAGATGGCATGTATGCGCAGGTGGTTAAATCTACGAGCTCCTTGGACACGCAACACAGATGTTACTGTCAATAGCTTGGGTGCATACTACGCCCAAAGAAACTTGGATCCGTCGGGGACAACCCTAAAAAGCCGTAAACAAGATCCTCTTAGGCCCAAGAAGTGAAAATATGAAATGTCCCAAAAGCCCTAAACCCCAAGCCCTAAAGAAAATTGAGAAAGCAGAGGAGTGCCAAGCTGCGTGGCGGAGTCCAAGTTGCTCCCGAACACGATCTCGCCTACTCAAATTTAGAGTGTAAGGCTGTGGGTTTAGAGGTTTAGGCTAAACGGTTTAGGGTTTAGGGCTTTAGGTTTAGAGGTTTAGGGTCTAGGGCATTCTGCTGGGATTTATGGTTTGGGGTTTTGGGCCAGCGGTGTATGGCTTATGCTTTGGGGTTCAGGGCTGAGAGGCTGTATGTTAAACACCCTGTTCAACACCCATACAACTCCGATAACACGTAATTCTCATACCCCCCAGAATGGTATAGGTATATATTTCGGCCCCTATATTAGGGTTTAGATTGCCTTTTTTTACTCATCCACAGCATCACTCAGGAGTTTCCGGAAGCACAGGGCCCCATTTCAAGCCGGATGGGGTGTTTATGGGGAAACCTTTCTTCCATAAAGCTTCTTGTAAGGAAGAGGTCCCCGAAGTATATTCTGGTATATTGAATCACTATATTTCTTCCATACGGTTTCTTGTAAGGAGCGGTTCGCCCAAAAGTAGTGAAGCATGTGCTCCGGAACCCAGGGTGTTTATAGCATCTTGATGTATATTCTGGTATATTGAATCACTATGTTGCATGTTATAATATCCCGAAACCCTAAACCCCAGTGCGGGTGTGGAGGTCCTTGGGCAGAGCAGTGCCAGCCTCAACCCCTAAACCCTAAACCTAAAGGCCTAAAACCTCTAAACCCCTGAAATCCCACTGCGCTGAACCCCTAAAACATTCTAAACCCCTACATGCCTAGAAAATCCCAAAAGCCAAAAGCCCTAGGCAGAGAGCGCAGTTTCAGCCTCTGTTCTGCGCATAATGGCCCGCAAAGCTCGACGTCTTTCTGCACCTCCCAGGACCGTTCAATTTATCACCCCCACAATTGTATAGGTATTGATTAGGCCCCTATTGTATAGAAAGAGGCTTGGCTGACTTCTGAACCCCTCCCAAAAGATAACCTGTTAGTCTCCTCGTTATATTTCACATAGAAACCCCAAAAATTAAAGTCCCAAGAGCCAACCAGAAGAACATCAAGAAGGGTTTAGGGTTTAGGGAGACGCAAGAGAAAGAGGGAGATAGGGAGAGAGAGTGGTTGTGCAAGTTTGCCGAACCTGAAATTAAGGGCTCTAAGGTGGTTTAGGTGGTTTAGAGTTTATGAGTTTAGGGGTTCAGGTTTGCTGCTTACATCAACCCGAAAAATAGGTTCAATAATGGCCCAACACCTGTAAAAGGCTGTTATTCTACATACTTTTGGGTCCATGGCAGGACATAGGTGATCCAGGATAGATGGTCGGACGTAGACAGGGCTTTCGAGACAGCTGGGTGTCGGATTCCCTAGTAAGACCCCTACTTGGAGGCCCAGGGGGCTTAGTAAGTTGGTCATAACTAGAGTTATAAGTACCCTAACCGGAGTTACCCCAGTTATAACCCTACTTATAACCGACTTACTAAGTCCCCTGGTCCTCCAAGTAATGTTTTTTGTAGTGCAATGGGGCCTTTGACTCTCCGCAGATCCCGGCCTGTTGTTCAGGCTTGTACTGAATCCAGCCCAGACCCAGACTTGCAAAAAAGGGAGAACCGCTCAGTTTAGGGTTTGGGGCAGACAAGGCTTTTATAATTCCTGTACACTGCCCTATAGAGGAACTTGCAGTAGAGCCCTTGAACACACTCTGTGGCACCCAACCCCCCAAAACATGAGACAGCCCATAAATCTCGCATAATTCTCCTAAGCCCCAAGCAAACCTTAAACCGCTTTTTTCCATAGCTCCTTGGACAAAACTTCCTGTGATTCCCCTGGATTTGGGATCGCGGGGGGGGCCCTGCTGAAGTAATATAGGGGCCTTAAAGTTTAGCGTAGGGTTTTGAGGTATATTCCTACTATTATTATTCTTATTAGGAGCCCGCAACATAGTATAGGTAATTACTTAGGCTTCTATATTAGGGTTCATGTCTGTGGTTTAGGGCTTGCAAGGGGCTCATACGGTTGATGATGATGATGATGATGATGATGATGATGATATATATATATATACACATTCGGTTTAGGGTTTAGGGTTTAGGGTTATATTCCTGACTATGGGTCCTGTCCGTGTACCCCGTCCAAAAATATTCATAGAAAGAACCCTAATCAAGGCCAGGGTTTCCGTGGTATCGCCTTTTTAAGACGAGAGGGCCGTTTCTCCTACCATTCAGATCCCACAGGGAGGCCCCACGATCATAAAGGGCACACTGGGTCCATTTGTCAGAGATTCACCCTTGGGACTTGAGACGGTTCAGACCCTCAACCCTAAACCCTAATCTTAATGCTGCTGTAAGAGGCGACTCCCCGAAATTGTTTTCCAAAATGTCTCGGAAAGACCACTTCGCGATCGTAAGCCCCGCACACCACTGCCACGTTGATGCCCCAGCCGGCGTCCGTGTCAGTCCGCCGTGCACAGATCTGCCGATAACAAGCTTCAGGGTGAGGAGTCAGCTTGAAGAGTATATGGGTAGTTCTATAAGAGTACCGTACTTGTTTGGAGAGAAAAAGGCCCCTAATTCAGAGAACTACCCATATTGACGCCAGAAGAGGTTCTGTTTGCTCGGCTGGTCCCACCTACTGACTGCGAAAAAGAAAAGCATCACTTGATCGGCGTAGCCCATTTCAACTGCTCCCATGGTCCTAAACTATGCTGCGCCCAAAAACACCCTTGACCTGACATAGTGCATATCGGAGTCGAAAGGCCTGAGTGCTTGTGTCCTTAGAACCTTGGGGTGCGTAGTTATCTTGAAATCGTAGTACCACAGCTTGACTCCGCCTCGCCTGCTCACCATCGTGATAGATGTGGAACTCGTCGGGATACTGGCCGCTGTGGTCTTTGAGCATCAGGTTCCGTGGGCAGTCAACCGGTCCTGATCATCGTATCGTAGGATTACAGCCACAAAGCGCACAACGTGCCAACTCACCGGCTGCTTGACATAATCATCTACTTATAGTATACGCAACCGTAAAACCCTATTCTAAGTATCAGTATATCGCAAACCCTGTGCCCTGCCCGGCATCTCAAGTTGTGTCCCTGAGAATGCCGCAGGAGCTTCTAAAACAAACGGCCCCAACTGCGCCACACCGGGTCACCAGCAGCCCTCTGGCTAATGTAGGGGCCTCAATAACTAGAATAGGGTTCTCGGGCGTCCTTATTATGATTATAGGTATAATATACCCCAAGCCCTATTCTAAATTGTTAAGACCCCTATATAAAACCCTGATGTTGGGGCCGGAAGAGTCGGGGATCCGATTTCATTTGGGATTCCACCGCCGGTTGTTACCATGAAAATCCGGAAACCTCGGAGGCCTCAAAAGGGTGGGGTGAAGGTAGGGGGGATCTTCCCAAATAGGGTTTAGGGTTTAGG